TATATATATATATATATATATATATATATATATATATATATATATATATATATATATATATATATATATATATATATATATATATATATAACCGTGTAGTAACTAGGACGTGTATGGCAAGATCTAAAAACAAAATGTTAGAAAACCTTAACATCAAAGAAAAACAATAACTGAAACACAAAACACTTTGCACACGAGCACCTCTAAGGTACCTCCACTTGTTGCCTTCGGAAAACAACAGTCATGTCCCTCGAAAGTGGGGATGCTTTAGCAATGACCCTCGAATCTAAAGATCATAGTCCCTCGATGACCCTTTGGTGTTGCCTTTCGGTAAAATGATTTAAGTCCCTTAAATGAAATTGCTAAAACGTCCTTACCAGTTGCCTTCAATGACTGTATGATGACCCGCGCCTGTCCCTCAAAACATCCAACGATATGGCTGCCTACTCACTAATAGTAGGATAGCATTGTCTAAAGGAAAAGAGGAAAAGAACAAACCTTTTCGAGTAGGTAGATAGTTCTTAGATGCTTGCTCAAAACGAAACATTTTCCACACCTACACTCCTTTCCAAAAATATTTTCAAAAACACTTTGTATAAGTTCTCAACAATACGAGAAACATTACAAAGTTCACCTCACTAAGGCGTCTTTTCAAAATACTTTTTTTTTCAAACACACAAACACACAAACACAAGGTATTTTCAAATGAGCTAGTATCTAAGAGCTCGTAGATAAATACAGATGGAAAGGGTGCTAACACCTTCCCTTTACATAATCTACCCCCTTACTCAGAAATAATCTCGAAAGGTCTTTTTCTGTTCTTTTCACCCTTTCCTTTATTGGATAAAAGAAAAGTTGGTGGCGACTCTTGCTTACCGCAACGTTTGCAAATACAAATGCAAAACTAGTATAACAGTCAGTTCTCCCACCGTATTACACTTGTATCTGGATGACATACCATCTTTAATCGAATGACCAGGTGCCCTAAAATAATATGCATAGAATATTCTTTCAGGAGAACGAATGAATGCTTTACCAAGGAAATTGGTATAAACTGCATCACCAAGCATCTTATGCCACAAAGAAACAATACATTTCGTCTTCTATCTTAATAGAAGAGACATCCAGCTGGTGAGTAAGAGTCTGGCAGTTGGCCAAATAGGAATTGGACTTTTGGAAGAGACGCCAGACAGGTGTTGGACTTTATACTTCAACCCTTTTACAATCTTCAATATCAAAACTGGGTGCCCCAGAATAGGAGATAAATCTAGCATGTGCATCATAATCAGAAGAGATGTTTGTGGGAGGAGGAACCCAAAGATTAGAGTTGGAAATAATTGGATGTAATGCATTGGGATCGCATCAACATTCTCATCAGGCTTCTTCTGTCTTTGCTTAAAAGTTTTACCCCATGAATTCACTTAGGGAACAAAGAGTGGCTGATGTCGAACAAATTAGGGAACACAAAGTTGTGGAGCGTTCCCCCAATTGAATAGTCGGATGCCCCAGTGTGGTAACCATATCTCACGTTAGTATCATGATCTGGAAGGGAATTTATAGACGGTACCAAAGTACGAGATATAACTCACTAAAACTCAAACAATATTGGAAACCAATGAGAATGAAGCATTGATATAAGATCAACTCCTCTTCAGGCGTATTCTAATATCGCTGGTAAAACTAGTTTCTTGAATTCACATAGTAAATGGAAACCATCTGCTGATAAGATGTTTCAAGAACTCAAGATTGTGTAGCATTCCATGGTTGAAAGCGATCCCCAAAATATGAGGATAAGAGAGAACCTCTGTTGCGGCAATAGGTGTAGGATTATTGGTATCATCATTAGAGCTTCCATGATCTGACTTACCTGAGTCTTCAATTGATTATGTTCCTTCTCGAAGAATTCCCGACCACGGGAAAAAGCTTGCATGTATACCATAATAAACCCCATCGGGATCTTCGTATCAGTCAATCCCCCATGGAGTTATGCCATACTGATCTCTAAACATGTGACAACAAGAATCCAAATTTGTAACTCTAAAGAGAATACCAAGTCTGAATAAGAATCCTTAAATTTGAGTACCTGTTATGAATGCATGAATGTGCATGAGGTGCATGAATGGATGCCATGTAATGTTTCATTATTTCCAAGGAATTTATATGCTTTGATTTTGATTTTACACAGGTAAGGGATGGAAAAGTTCAGCACAAGATTTACAGATATGATTCCATGAAAATAACAAAATATGTATGTTAAACATGTGGTTAACCATGTTATGTATGCAAAGACATGGGATCAAAGTTCCATCACTTATTAATATGATTGTCGCACTGTTCTGAACCATATGAATATCACCAAATCAGAGGTCCGACATAACTTTCACACATACGAGAACCAAGTATGATGTAGATCATCAATTTTGCAGGATCAAGGCTTCTGGAACACCGGATACTGCTGAGCCTTTTATGAACATGTCGGGAATACCAAGATCGAAATCCCGAATGAACCTCCAAATAAACAAGTCAGAAACTCAAAATAAATTTGAGAACCATATGGTCACGAACAGAACATAGTTACCAATGGTACCTGTAAAGATTATCCCCTCCCCACTCACGGGTAAAGACTAGGTCAGGGTAAGCCAATGGTAACTTAATATCACAGGTTTGCTTGAGAGTATTATCATCGCACACCTACGTGATAATGATATCACCTCATTAAAATGTCATCTGAGCAAGGACGACACAACCATCTAAGGTAATTTATATCCCATATCTTTTGTGTTCCACTCTATTCATAGTGTTCCTATACTTGGTCTGGGTATTGGGCCTTTTTACTCATAGTAACACCCACCCAACATGGAAAACCAGAAGGCAGCACAACAGATAACCAATAAGGAAAGAAATAAAATGCAATGCCAACATATGCTCAGATAAACATGTACAAAATGAAGAAACCATAAAGCATATAAATAAACACCCAAAGAAAATAAAACACAAGCTAGGATCGACTCCAGGATGGACCAACAATTAGTCGAGCTGTCCCCAGTGAAGTCTCCAGCTAAAACAACCGACTGAAAATCATCAGACAATGAAGTCTCCATCGAATTTATTTTATCCTACATGAAGGGAAAAGAGAACATCGAGAAAACCTGAGAAGGGAGAAGTCACGGTCTTGCGACCGAGAGATCAGGTAACATAGTCTGTTACACGAGGGGAAGGTATTAGCACCCCACATACACGTATTACTCTATGGTATCCACTATTGTTATCTATCTTATGGGTGTGTCTAATCTATGTCTACTACTTAGTACCGAGGAAGAATGCATGCAAAATAAATGTGGGGAAAAGAAGGAAGTATTTACGTATTTTTCTCGGTTAGGACCCGCGACCTATTGCATACGTATCCCTTTCGAGAAATCATAGCACCATAGTTAGGATCACATTTTTTTGTTTGTTTTGTGTTTTTTAATGGAACTATTCTAAGCTTCATATTCTACGGCTGGTCGACCGTGGGAGACTCACGTGTCTGTAGTAGAAAGGAACTAACATGCCATACTTGACGAGGTATCTTCAAAAGGAAAATGCCTGAAGGCGGATAATGTTTCATACGCAACTTTTTGGAGAGTAGACATGAGTGCAACCCAACCTTTAGGGATTTACGCGTCGTACTGCCTAAAGTAGAACTAACACATCCTTTTGAGAGTTTCATGAAAGGCCCGAAGGCAAAAAGATTTTGGATTGGTTGATATTTTGTTACCTTGAAAAAGGGTTTTTGCATTATTAGAGTGTTTTTGAATTTGAAAGAAAAAAAGGTTTTAGTTTTAATGCATATGCAAAAGAGAAAGAAAATGCTAAGGGAAACGTCTACCTACGTTAGCATACCAAAACCTAGGGACAAGGATGACTATCCTATAGGGAACATGCAAAGATCGAAGTCATTATCTCAATTCTAATTGAGTGAAATCATCGACCATTAACAAAGTAAAACAATAAAATCCCTAAGGGAGCATGCAAAGGTCGAAGTCGATATCTTAAATCTAATTCAGTGACATCATCGATCATTAAAAACAAATAGATGAAATCCTATGGGGAGCATGAAAAATATGAAGTTGTTATCTCAATGCTAATTGAGTGACATCATCGGCTGTCAAAAGATGAAAACAAACACAAGCACAATTAGCAAACAAGTGTTGAATGCCTACTACAAATCTTTAAACAGCGACTTCAAGCGCACGCTCTTTATTTTCTACTTCTCATGTTATCTAGAAAAGCGGTAAAATTTGGAAATGAGGAATAAAATAAAGTCACGGTGATACCTAACGGAGAAGGTCCGTTGCCTCTTAAAATCCAAACAAGCAATAAGAAAACTCTACCAAACAGCTTCCTCGAATTCCCTTAATGAATATTATGCTCTTAGCTAGCTTCGGAAATCTTCACCCAAATCTCTAATGGAGAAGGTTTGTTGTCTATTCGAAACCATGCAAGAAAATATCCAAGAATTCCTTTGCACAAAAGTTGCATCAATACTATCACAAATTCTTCACAAAATAATGATAACAAAAATAATTATCAAACATGAAAATAATAGAAAACTCTAAGGAAAATTCTAAAGAGAGACCATAAAGGATTATAAAATATTCTACTATTTTTTGTATCATTTTCATCATTAAATCTTGGAAAAAATGAAGCTAAAACTACTAAAAATGGAAAGGTAAAAGTATAGTATAAACATAGGGGGTGTATTGCTAAGCCTAGGAAGTATTGAAAGGAATTGGTGCTAAGTCAATCAGATTTGGTCCACCATAATTTTTGTACATTGATATGAGGCTTCAAAAACAACATAGAAATGGGCCAAGAGGGAATGTGGTTTGATCCAGAATCAGTTTTTGGTGCAAGACATACTAGTTTCCAAAAATCTCAACAGGCCTGAGTGGAGCATCAAAGCCCAATGAAACATAGCCACCGAGTTCAAATGTTTTGTTGATGATGCTAGGGTTTAAAACCAATGTGGCTATTCTGCTTCCATTTATGAACGCGATTCCCTTCCTCCTACAATCTCAGACGTGACATATTTCTATTCTTCTTCTTTGCAACCTCACCGTCATGGCCTCACTGTCTCAAAACTCCTCCGTCTTCTCATCTCTTCTTCGCCAAAACGCCGTCGTCAACATCTTCGTCTCAGGTCCTCTTTGGACGGTGCAGCTCAACCTCATCAATTCTCATCACCATCTCTGAAGAAATGCCACTCTCATCTGTATAAAGCGAACAACGCCAGTCATCATCCTCAAAAAAAAAACTCTGCCACTCGCCTTTGTCTCTCACACCATTTTCTCTTCTCCATTCAGATTATCTCAACCCCATGTCTCACCTTCGGTTTCGCTCATCCCCTCCATCTAACCGAACTCACGGCGAAAACGATGAACAAAGAAAGATGAATGTAAGCTTACCCACCGAAGAATCATCCGACGCTTCTTCAATCACAAGGGAAACGAAGGAAAACTAGAGATCCTCGCTCAGGTACTCATACTTTCACTTTGCTTGCTCTTTCATTTGTTCTTCATCTACTACTCTTCTGCTTCTGCAATCATCACGACTATGTCGTTACTGTGCGATTGCGTTGAATTCGCGATGTTGACGTTGTTGTGTTGATGTGATGAAGATGCTATTTGTAGGTCGTTGATGAAGATACAAAGAAATCACCGCGTTGATGATGATGAAGAATTGAAGTACAATAGCAGATAATGAAGATTGTTGCAGCAAGATTTATGATGATTGAAGTGGTTGCGTAGAAAATTTATAGAGAAGACCGTGGATTAAAGATTTTTGAGTATTTTCTGGTGTGATTCTTCGAGAGATTCAAGAATGAGCGATGGATGGTGAGGAATTGCAGAAGATTGATGATGATAGAAGCAAGGTGCACAAAGAGATAAAGTTGAAGGTTTTGCGTGAAGGTTGAGGTTCAATGATGGAGGATGATGATTATGCAGGAGAATGAAGATTATGCAGAGTGTTTAGAGAGAGAGAGAGAATGCAGATGGGGCTTTGAGCAGTGCAGAGAAGAAGAGATTCTTGGTGAGTTTTTTTTCTCTCTCAGTTTTTCTTTTTGATTTTCTGTTACAAATAGAGGGTTAGATTTGAGTCAGTTGAGAGTTAGTTAGAGTTAGTTTTGGTAGTTCTATTTTTTGTTAGGAGAGTTGGAGAGTCTAGTTGGTTATGAGGGCTTGTTAAATTCAATTAGAATGATAGTTAGATGTTTTGATTTTCTGTTATAACTATTAGATGAATCCTGAATTGGTTATAGCAAAATGGATCTGAGCCTTTGATTTTAGAAATCGGTTAGGGAATAAATGGTGTAGATTTAACAGTGAGCTGTTATGAAAATTTGTTAGAAGTTAGTTGGGTAAAAAATAGAAATCGGTTAGTTGTTAGGTTTTTTCTGTTAAGTAGTTTGGACTATTAGAAACTGAAAATAAAATGGAATTATCCATTTGTTTGAATTTGTGGATTGCTTTTATTGATGAACTATTTTATGCTGCTTTAAGCTGAGCTTGGACTAAAGATCACCTCTTCAATTCTGTAGACTTGAACCAAACACGAACTATTATTTAACTGCATAGATGTTGAAGCTTCGTTCACAGGTACATGACTATTTATGAATAAAACATGCTAGGCTTTTGATCTTGCAATGTTTTGAATTAATTTGTGCTTTGAATTTCCTATGAATGTGCTTGCACTAGATTCTATTGAATTTCCTTCTGAATGTTTGGATGTTGGTACGAATCGAAATATGGTTGTTTTGGTACACATGCTTTGTTTTGATGCTTGGTGCAGGCTGCTTGTTGAAGCTCACAATTTGAATGTCTAGACTATCAGTTTCTTCTGATTTTATGAACAAGATACAAGGCAGCAACTTTGCTCTGGTGCAGAGGATCTTTCGATGCATACCTAAACAGGAAAAACCATGAAGAGGTGGGCTGATGGAATCACAAGATGGCAGGCATAAATAGCTTTGTTTAAGAATCAAGGTCTAGAAAATCAATGATTAATCATTCAAAATTTTCTAATTCTCTTTGTAGTTTTAAACATTCATCTTGTAAATGCAATTGTGCTCAGACATTTGATTGAATATTGGATAATTGGAGTTTAAATCCTCTTTATGATATAATCATGTTAAAATTCAAACAAAACATCACCATGAACTTCAAACGTTCAAGCTGATCTCTTTTACAATGTGCAGATTTTGTGGAAACTTGTATTTCAAGGAGCATTATAACTTCTATTTTCCTTTCATTCTCAATTTGTGATCCACTTTATGTTGTTTCCATTATAAAAACACTGACTCATAAGTTTCAATTTCAATAGGTGCTGCCCGACACCATGTATATATCAAATGCTTGTATGATAGCCAAGGAGACAACTAGTAGCCTGAGAAAAAGGACCAAAGGTTTATACTTCATTGATGAACAAAAACCTTACAATGACAAGTACAAGCCTAATGATGAAGCATCTCACTCCATGATTCACAAGAATTTCAATTGAACATAAGCCCTTAAAGGTAGTCAAAACTTTGATTCCATGGTCACTGATACATGCAATGTCAAATGACCTATTGGATAATATGCATATAAAAAATGCAAGATGCGTAAGCCATGTAGTCCCTAAAAAGAGGTAGGACAAATTTTGGGTATTACACTCTTATAATGCAAAGAGACATGTTCCTAACTTCTCGAAAAAGAAGGATGAAGAAATTAATGTTGTAGCATCGTACCCAAGGACACAACAACCATTAATAATTCCACAAGAACAAAAACAAAACATGTTTGAAAGGCCTTCGAGAATATTTGATCCTCTCCCCATGCCGCACATACAATTATTGCAACACTTGGTTAAAGCATCTTTGGTAAAGCTAAAATCTCTAGCTCTTCCAATTGGGGCACTCCCACCAAGGTACGATGCCAATGCCAGGTGCGAGTATCATGCAAATTCTCTAGGGAATACTATAGAAAAATGTTGGGCCTTCAGACATAAGGTTCAAGACTTGTTGAATTCTCAGGATATCACTTTTGACAAACCGAACATCAAGACGAACCCCATGCCTCCGCATGGTGGACCAGTAGTAAATGAAATTGAAGTGGTTACTGACTTTGGGCCAGTCAGACAAGTAAAAGCCCTGATAAACCTTTTTAAAGAATATTTGTTAGAATGTTGGTTTCTCTTGGAACATAATGAATCTTTTGATAAGACATTATAGAAATTGGTGGATCAGGGGATAGTCCAATTCGGGCAATACCCTAAATAAGAATATATAGCTGCGATTGATGGAAATACAAAGATGCCACTGATAATCACATACCAAGGGTCGAATCTTAATAAGAAAACTCTTGTGATTCCATAGGGAGAGCTAACAGAAGCACCCGTGATGATACTAAGACAAACTTTGATTCCAGCGGTACCTAAGATTACGATGGTGATTAGGGGGCCATCTCCTACCCCTTATGAAAGTAACAAAGAAGTACCTTGGAGTTATGATTCTATGGTCTACGTCAATGGTTTAAAGCAAGAATGTGAGTCATCATAAAGACAAGGACCTACAATCACAAATATAGCTGGAACAAGGGGCATGACCCTTAGTGGTCAAATCTATGGTCCCGAACAACGAAAGAGAGATGACATTATGGTTAAGGATAAAGGAAAAGTTGTGATGGACACAAGTCAAGAACAAGAATCTCCGAGCAATAATTTTACCAACTAAGAGGCGAAAGATTTCTTAAAAATAATCAAGAGAAGTGATTATAGGATGGTGGATCAGCTACACCAAACCCCAACCTAAATTTCAATACTCTCGTTGCTCCTCAACTAAGAAGCGCATCAAGATTCTCTAATGAAAGTTATAAGTTCTACTCATGTTGCAAAAGAGATTACAGTAAACTAGTTTGACAACGTTGTAGCGAATCTGACATCTGGATCATATCTAGGTTTTAATGATAGTGAGTTGCCTCCACAAGGAAAAGCTCATAACAAGGCATTGCACATCTCTATTCAGATAGGTACTACAAGTCTGTCCAGGGTACTCACTAATACCGGTTCCTCCCTCAATGTGTTACCAAAATCCATCTTGATGAAGTTGACATTTGATGGTGTTATTATAAGGCAAAGTTCCACGATAGTCAAATCTTTTGATGGTTCTCAAAGTACGATATTTGGAGAAGTGGACCTTCCTGTCAAGATAGGCCAACATATGTTTTATATCACTTTTCAAGTAATGGATATAGAACCAGCATATACATGTTTACTCGGACGACCTTTGATCCATGCAGCAGGGGAAGTCACTTCAACTTTACGTTAGAAACTAAAGTTCTTCGATGGTGAATAGGACATATTTGTAAGTCATATAGTGTCCTACAGATATATCAGCACTGATGAAGACTGTATAGAGACACCATTTCAGGTCTTAGACGTTGCTTCAACGGTAACCCTACCAGTGGAGAAAATCAAGAAACCTACTGTGACTTCATGGAGAGACTTACAAACATCTAGGAAAAATGGTACCTCAAAAGGTTGGGGTAAACTTGTGGAGATACATGAAAAGAAGAATTGTTTTGGTTTGGGTTACGAATCATCAAAGGCTACCCTAAACGGCAAGGCGCGGTTTCCTCCTATCCAGGAAACGTTCATCAGCAAAGGAACGAAGCATGGCGAGAAAGTGGAGATGATATCTAATAAGAGCAACACTAAGAGAGCATCTGACTTCATCCGTGAATATGCTCCAGACGAAGAGCTCAAGAATTAGACAGTCGTGGAGATTCTAGAGATCTTTTTCTTTCCAAAGTGATTTTTTCTTGTTTTTTTAAAGAACTTGTGTCAAGCCCGAGGCATAGGGGTAGCTTGTAAGGGTTCCTCGATTTATTTCAAATAGTATTCACAATTAATAAAAGTTATATTTCACATTCAATTAAGATCCATGTCTTTCTCTTGTATTTATTTCTTAAATTTAAAAATGGAAATATTTTTCTTCATATGCATTTTCCAAATTCACATACTAAAACTGCACCAAAACATGATAAATGTGCAGATCATGCCTAAAATCACCAATAACGTTACTGCTGCTATCCGATGTAATTTTGATGCACCCATCAACCAAGCAGAAGAGGAAGATGTTGAAGATCTTGAACTCTCTAAAGAATTAGCAAGGGAGATCGAGCAAAAAGTTGACAATATACAACCATACCAAGAATCAATTGAGACCATTAATCTTGGCATAGAGGAGGATCCAAAAGAGATTAAGCTAGGGGCAACATTGGAGGAAAGTGTCAAAGAAAGACTGATCAAGTTGTTACATGAATATGTGTATATATTTTCTCGGTCTTACAGAAATATGTCGGGATTGGATACATATATTGTGGTGCGTAGACTACCTCTCAAGGAAGGTTGTTCTCCAGTTAGACAGAAGCTCAGAAGAACTCGTCCAGACATGTCTAGCAAGATTCGATAAGAAGTCCTTAAACAATTTGATGCAGGGTTCTTAGAAGTGGTAAATTATCCACCTTGAATAGCTAACATCGTGTCAGTGCCCAAGAAGGACGGAAAAGTACGCATATGTGTAAATTATCAGGATCTAAACAAATCAAGTCCCAAAGACGACTTCCCGTTACCTCACATAAATGGTTTAGTGGATAATACAGCTCAAGCTTCGGTGTTCTCGTTCATGGATGGTTTCTCAGGTTATAATCAAATCAAAATGGCACCCGAAGATATGGAAAAGACTACTCTCATGACACATTGGGGTACTTTTTGTTATAAGGTGATGCCTTTCAGTCTAAAAAATACAGGGGCAATTATCAACGAGCTATGGTCACACTATTCCATGGTATGATTCATAAAGAATTGTAGGTATACATAGATGATATGATCTCCAAATCTCATACAGAGGAGGATCACATCGTACATTTACAAAAGTTATTCGAGTGTTTGCAAAGGTTTAAACTAAGGTTGAATCTGAACAAATGTACATTTGGTGTCAGGTCAGGAAAGTTACTGGGTTTTATCGTAAGTCAGCATGTTATTGAGGTAGATCCCAACAAAGTGAAAGCCATACAAGAAATTCCAGCTCCAAAAATAGAAAAGGAGGTTCGTGGTTTCTTAGGAAGATTGAATTACATTTAAAGATTCATATCACACCTAACTGCCACGTGCGAACCTATATTCAAATTACATCGGAAAAATTAGACAATGGTGTGGAATGATGATTATTAGACAACCTTCGAGACAACAAAGCATTATTTACAAGAACCATCAATCTTAATGCCACCAGTTCTCGGAAGACCGCTCATCATGTACCTAACAGTGCTTGAAGGGTAAACGGGGGTGTGTATTGGGACAACATAATGAAACGGGTAGAAAAGAATGTGTAATCTACTACCTCAGTAAAAAATTCACCGACTGCAAAACCATGTACTCACTTCTCGAGAAGACTTGTTGTGCATTGGCTTGGGCTACTAATAGATTGAGGCAGTACATGTTAACTCACACCACATTGTTAATAGAAAGAATGGATCCTATAAAGTATGTAACTGAAAAACCATATCTTATAGGAAGGATTTCCCGATGGAAGATGTTACTATCAAAATATGACATCCAATATATTACTCAAAAGGCCATCAAGGGTAGTGTACTGGCTGACCATCTAGCTCATCAGCCATTTCCAGAATATCAACCAATGAAGTTTGACTTTCCAGACGAATATGTCATGGTTATAGGTGACTACAAAATACCAGGGTCCGATGAAGGACCTGAACCAGGGGCACGGTGGACACTCATGTTTTACGGGGCTTCAAATGCATTAGGACACAATATTGGGGTAGTTTTGACTTCTCCAAAAAATTTCACAAATCTTATACTGTAAGGTTATGTTTTGACTGCACCAATAATATCGATGAATATGAAGCTTGTATCTTAGGCCTAGAAGCTGCTATTGATCTAAGAATTAAACATCTCGAAGTGTTTGGAGACTCAGGGTTAGTCATATACCAAGTCAACGGTGAATGGGTCACTAAACATCCTAGATTTATTCCATATCAGGATCATGTTTTGAAGCTAGCTAAGGAATTTACCAAGATTATGTTCAGTCATAAAATCAGATGGAAGACGCCTTGGAATATTTATCAGCCATGTTCAAAATAACCTAGCCAAAACATGAACCACGCATTACAATCAGACATTTTGAAGAACCTGCACATTACCTTTCTATTAAATAAGGACCGAATAACAAGCCTTGGTTCTATGATATCAAAAGGTATCTTGAGAAGCAAGAATACCCAGAAAATGCCTCTATAATTAATAAACAAACTCTACAGAAGCTAGCTTCAATGTTCTTTTTGAATGGAGACATATTATACAAAAGAAACTACGATATGGTATTACTCAGGTGTGTGGAGAAACATGAAGCAGATATACTTATGAGACAAATCCATGAAGGGACTTTCAGAACACATACAAATGTACATGTTATGGCTAGAATGATCTTGCGAGCAGGTTATTATTGGTTGACGATGGAAGCTGATTGCTACCATTATACAAAGACATGTCACAAATTCCAAATCTACAACGACAAAATACACGTGCCACCAACTCCTTTGAATATCCTGAGTTCTCCTTGGCAATTTTAGATGTGGGGAATTGATATGATAGGAATGATCGAACCGAAATCCTCCAACGAACACCGGTTCATACTAGTTGCCATTGATTACTTCACCAAGTGGGTGGAAGTTGCATCGTACGTAAATGTGACAAGATAAGTGGTTACTCATTTCATCAAACAAAATCTTATATGCAGATATGGGGTTCCTAGCAGGATCATTACAAACAATGGGTCAAATTTGAACAACAAAATGATGAAAGAGTTATGTGATGACTTCAAGATTGAGCATCATAATTCCTCGCCATATCGACCCAAGATGAATGGAGCCGTCGAAGCTGCCAATAAGAATATCAAGAAAATCATTTAGAAAATGGTGAAGACATACATAAATTGACATGAGATTCTCCCTTTTGCTCTACATGGCTATCGTACTTCTGTATGTACATAAACATGTGAAACTACTTTCTCTCTCGTATATGGAATGAGGGTAGTACTCCCAGTTGAAGTGGAGATTCCATCATTTTGAGTTCTAATGGAAACAAAGCTTGAAGAAGCATAGTTGGTTCTGACGCGATTTTATCAGCTTAATCTCATTGAAGAAAAATGCTTGATAG